TCCATAAATTATTTCGCTTGAATGTTATTAATTCCAAGAAAGCACTTACTAACTGCCTCTAAACGTTTCACATCACGCGATGTACTCAAATAAAATGAGCGCATTGAATAGAAAAGAAGTGCCAGCACCGCTGTAGCCAGCAGGCTGACTGGATTGACAATCGATATTACTATGACTATGCCAGTCAAGCTGAGAATGTTCTGTATGACATCCATCATTACCCATGGCAATATCTCATCTACGGCACCTAAATCTTTGGCAAAGCGATTCAGTATGCGCCCTGAGGGATTTGTGTGAAAGAAGAACATCGCTGCGCGTGTGATGCCACGATACATAGCATTGTGTAGTGCCGTCGAGGAACGCATGGCCATCGTGAAGAAGAACAAAGTGCGAGCGAAGGCAAAAATAATGGTGGCCAAAATGATGCCAAAGAATATGTAGATGTCCTTTGGATCCGTGTTACTATTCAATCGCAAATCGCGTGCATCTGTGTCATTGACAGCATTAGCAGCATTAGCAGCCTCGGCAGCATCGATACTTCGCTCCTGACTAACGAGCTGTTGTTCGTTTTTATTTACCCTATAGAAAGGCAATCACTAATACTAGAATTTGTTTATATTCAAAATACGCTGCAGACAATACGAACTCACCAAAATGAAACGTAAAAATCACTAGTGGATCCCAACATCTGTGCGCCTACACAAAAGAACATCGTCACTGCGAAGAGCAAATAGCCGCCGCTGGCACCAAAGTACTTCTTATACATGCTCCAGCCAATCTTGCCCGTCTCACGCTTCTCTTGCACCTGCAATGGCGACTCAGCCTCGTCAACTAACGACTCGGCCACTGACTCGTCCATTGAACTCATCGTGGCCGTGCTGTTCTGTCGTTGTATATGCAACTGACTTGACGCGCTTTTCATCTCAGCAATGCTGTCGTCATCCGCATCGCTGTCATTTTCTGGTGCGGTCAACAGATTTGCAAAGTCTAAGCCGCTGCTCCGCATAGACTCATAGGTGCCCACTGCGCTGATCTTGCCCTTATCCATGATGACGATAATGTCAGCCTGTTCGAGGAACTGTAACTGATGTGTTACTAAAATGACAATGCGATCGCGCAGGAAGCCGCGCATGCATTGGTCGAAGAGATGCCGGCCGACATGTGTGTCTACTGCGCTTAGTGGGTCATCCAGCAGGTAAATGTCGGCTTTGCGATAGACAGCGCGAGCCAAGCTGATGCGCGCTTTCTGCCCGCCCGAAAGTGAGGCGCCACGCTCGCCCACAATCGTTTTGTCGCCATGTGGCAGTAGTTCAAAATCACGCTCCAATGCGCACTTTTTCACCACGGTACGATAACGGTTCCTGTCCATTGGCAAGCCGAAAAGTATATTTTGCCGAACAGTGCCGGTGAATAGCCAGGGTTCCTGAGAGGCATACGAGTAGGAGCCGTGCACGGTGACGGAACCCGATTCAACGGGTAGTTCGCCAAGTATGGCTTGGATTAAACTGAGATGTGAAAGTAGAAAAAAAAATAGTTATAACAGCGCTCTAAATATCGACAAATAATATCAAAAGCTAACAATATGTAAATTCGTGGACTCTTCGTTCATAGAACTTTACCTAGAATTTACCTCGACTTTCCGGAGCCCACCGGTCCAACGACTGCGACTAGCGTGCGGGGTTCGACCTTCATGTCGACACTACTCAGCGTATACTCCGGCACTTTTGGGTCCCATTTTGCCTTCAAATTTCGTATCTCAACACTAGATTCGCACTGTGCCACCTCCTGCGTTGGCTGCGTGGATTTTAAATTCCCATTCAGGTCATCCATTTGTTTTATTTGCCGGTAACCATTTCCCCTATTTCCTGAAGGATCACCAATTTCTTCATACAACAAATATGTTTTTATGCGTCTGAAGGACACGAGCGTCTCAGAGATCTGCTGTATGCCATTCGGAAAGGCCACAACCATTGTATTACGCAAAATGCTGTAGAATGCAGTGACAACGAACGCTTTTTCGGCGGTAAGGAAATTCCCTAACAACACATAGGCCACTAAGCTGACAAACACGGACACGCGCGTCATGAACATGGAGAACATCTGCAGTATGCCAGTGATGTAGTTCTTCTTGCGTATAACGTTCATTTCCTTGCGTCGCGCAAATTGCACCATCTTCCCGAAAGGTTTCTCCCACGCATACATTTTGATCACCTGTATGCCCGTGATGATTTCGTTCATCAGGCGCACGCGCTCATCGGTGCGCAACGCTGTGCGCAAACGCAGCTTCGAAGTCAACTTGCCAAGATAGAATTGCAGTGGCACAAAGAATACCATGGCAAAGACGCCAAACATCGATGCCACGCCTATCTGAAAAATACATATATATTTATTTCTACTGTATATGTATACCGTGTCGCAGGCCAGACGTATGTACCTCTCTGTACATGAGAACAGCTACTACGGCGATCTCGATCGGTCCAACCCACAGTACGTGTACGTGCATGATGGATGTATCCAGCCGCCCGACGTCGTTCGATATCAGATTTACCACTTGACCGGTTGTGGTGTCGCCAAGCGCTGTTCTATTCAAGCGTAACGCTTTCCGATAAATCAAACTGCACATGGCGAGTCGCACTTTCATGCCGATGTGTTGAATGCCCAACATATATGGATGTCTTAGCATTACATTCAATGCGTTACAGACAATCACACCCATGGCATAAATATAGGCAGTAAAGTTATCATCTCTGTTGGTGGGATTCGCATAGTAATTGACTAAGCCGCCAAGAAACAGTGGCTGTGTAACGCTGTGGTATAAAGTATGTAGGAATATTCTTTTTTTTTTTGTTTTTGTAAATATTTCCACTCTTGTTCCACTCACCGCAACCCGATTTCTACCAGAAATAATACACATCCCAAAGCGGCAAAGTTTAGCCCAAATACGCGTATCACAGCCAAGAGTAAACTGGGTTCTTTATTTTTGCGCCGCTTCTTTTCGACCTCTGTTTCCCAAGCTTTGTTTAATTTATTGCCGAGTGTTTCTGAAAAGTTGTTTTCCAATTTTTATTACACAGATTTCATTTTAGGAAGGGAACAGCAGTAAGCAGACCTACAACTAAGTGAGCAACATTTCAAACTCTTAAGCTCCAATTCATTTTATTAGTAAAAAAAATCGGATAAAATTTTGAGCTCCCGATTCAGTCGCAATTATTATTATAGGTTATTTATTTCGTGCAGACAATTGTGCGAAACTTTATTCTTACCTGATTTATGTTCCTTTAGCACTCGGTAGAGATCGCTTTCATCTAAAGTTTTCTTACGCCCCTTAAAAAATATTGGTAAAGTAAAGCTAAAAATAAGATCAAATATTTTGATTTTATATTACATTATTTAATAATGTCTTATTACAAGGATATATCTTATTATTAACATTTCATATCTATGCATGTACGAGGAAATGTCCAAAATTTCGCGGAATGGAGGGGGTGGAATGGGGGCAGGGGCGCGGTCTTAGTTTCATACCAATTGGGGACTCGTCATTGGTATGTTAGTCAAGTTTCAACCCTATGGCGTCATTCGTTTACGAATAATCGCTTCCCAGAAGATAATTTTGGTAGGCCTTCTTATTTAAGTAAAGCCATTCTAAGAGGCCTACCCAAGAAGGGCTGAAAAAAGTGCTTCCCCGCATGCCTTCAAGAAGGGCTTATCCATTTACCGGCTGGTTCTAAACTACGCAGCGTGCTTACCGGGGACTAGCTGACCTCCACCGGAAGCCTTCTGATGTCGCCNCCGCATGCCTTCAAGAAGGGCTTATCCATTTACCGGCTGGTTCTAAACTACGCATCGCCCGTGTGCTTACCGGGGACTAGCTGACCTCCACCGGAAGCCTTCTGATGTCGCCACAGCACCACCTACATGACGAGGCTCAAATGCTCCATGTTAAGCAGGACAACACCATGCTTTGTAAGCAGTTCCTAGTAGCGTGCCATAGGTGCCTCAGACGTGGGCACCCGAACAGACACCTGCTTGCCACAGAGCCCTCGGTTTGGAAACTCAGAAGGCATCTATACGAACTAATAAACGAAGACCAAAGGTTCATAATACAACCATTGGACCCGCAGGCGTTAATGCCGTTTTGGGAACACAGCCACCTGACGTGGACGAGAACTTCGTCTGCCTTGGGAGACTCGCACCATCATAGCCCAACTTAGCTCTGGATACTGCAGCAGGCTAAACTCCTACCTGAGTAGAATAAACGCAGATGTGCTCAATGAGTACCCTGCATGCGGAGAGTACCCTAAACTCCTCTCAACTAACGCTCCTCTCCCTTTGAACCAACCCAGTTGCAGTGGCACACTTCCCAGGTATCCCGTTAGTTGAGCTCGACGACAACGATTGAGGGACTAGCTTATATAGGCAGGGATAAGTAGCCCGGTAAGTAGCCGCTGTGGTGTAGTGATCAGCAGTGCGCGCTTTCATTCCGCAGCACCTGGGTTCAAAGCAACATCGCAACAAAATTTGGAAAAAANGCCTTTGAACCAACCCAGTTGCAGTGGCACACTTACCAGGTATCCCGTTAGTTGAGCTTGACGACAACGATTGAGGGACTAGCTTATATAGGCAGGGCTAAGTAGCCGCTGTGGTGTAGTGGTCAGCAGTGCTCGCTTTCATTCCGCAGCACCTGGGTTCAAAGCAACATCGCAACAAAATTTGGAAAAAAGGTTTTTTCTTAACTACAGTCGCCCCTCGGCAGGCAATGCCAAACCTCCGAGTTTTCTCATAAAAATACAATCGCCGTTCGGAGTCGGAAAGTGGTTTGGGTTAAAGCATGAAATATCTAAATGTATATTCATATAAAAAAATTAGCTTGAAAAACATTTTAAATATTTAAAAGAAATCAACATGTAAATATGTACTGGTTTGAGTTACTGTATGCATATTAGAGTGGTACTTAAAAATCAAATGAAAGTTTTTTTTCAGTCGCACCCCCTCAGTCGGTAATACCACGACCACATATAAATTTTAGTTCCGATTGGAGACCCCTGTGCGACACGCCTTAACCAAGTCCAATCGTGGTCAAAGTTTATCGATTTTGGGTGTTAAGTGAAAAAAAATTAAAAATTTATTTTTTGCGTCTCCATAGAGGAATCTGAACTTTTCCCCCTGTGCCTTAACCGCCTCCAATCGGGACCAAAATTTATATGCGATATCTTCGACTATAGTAGCATNGGTTCCGATTGGAGACCCCTGTGCGACACGCCTTAACCAAGTCCAATCGTGGTCAAAATTTATCGACTTTGGGTGTTAAGTGAAAAAAAAATTAAAAATTTATTTTTTGCGTCTCCATTAGAGGAATCTGAACTTTTCCCCCTGTGCCTTAACCGCCTCCAATGGGGACCAAAATTTATATGCGATATCTTCGACTATAGTAGCATCGACGTAAGGGTTGAGGCTTAGAAAATCTGATGTAAAAATTGTCTTCCTACATTTAAGGACCACCCTAGTGCACATGCATGAGCTGCAAGTGAGTAAATTATCAATCTATAAAATATAACATACATTTTATATGAGAGGACTTATCATTTTATTGAGTCAAGAACGCCATGATTTTCAAATGTTTTTCAAGTCGGCCCCTAACGTTTTAGTAACTAATCCCTAATTTGAAGTACATAGTTGTTGAATTTAAACACTTCCTTCGGCTTCTTATACGATATTTCGTCAAATTCATTGAGGGCTCGTTGCTGAGAGTGTACTTATTTGGCTTCTCAGTAAGACCAATGGGTGCGCTCCCCTATGCTTCAAAAAATGAATTGAAGGGTGTCAAATTAACCTGGAAAATATGTACTTTAGGGTGCCTTACAAAAAAAGCTGCGCGTTTTCACCGGAATTATAAAATGTATTATCTTTTAAGACTGCCGCCAAAATATTTCGGAAAAATATTAAAATTTACGAGAAGTCTTATGGTCTTATTTATGAAAAATAAAACGAGTTTAAGAGTTCAATAAAGTGACTTGTACAATAGTCAAAGGCTTCTTTATATTTTATGAATTTCGGTACATATTAATAAATTTTATATTTCCGATGGGAAACCAGTGCCGATTTTTTTTTTATATTTTGGTATGAAGGGCCGCGCACCCTAATGTACATACACATATATGTATTCTGATTTGCGCATAAGACTAGACGATAGACGCGGCTGTATATCATTGATATTTCCAATGATTGAATCGAAAACTTAAATATGACTCGCTCTGTAGGCACTCAGCCCTGCTTAAGATATTATAGCGTCAATCAGTAGCGAAAAAAATCACAGTCTGTGTGGAAAAACAGTCATGCATGATAGATTATTTTTGACTTATTAGTATCCATGTATTTGTTTGGTCGTTGATAACTCATTGCTGTGTATTTAGCCCGGTTTGATAGGCGTCCAAAAACATATTTGTTATTAAAGTATAATTTTTCCCCTACACTTTGTTTATTCAGCAGCTAGTTTTATGCATAGATTGATATTGCGCAAACACTGAAGTAAAGTATATCCAGCGCTAAAAAGCTGGCGAGCATACAGTAAGTGCCAAATGTAAGTTTACACCTTGTTCTAATACAATATTAACACTTATTTTCAAGAAAAAATTTGTTCATTCATTATTTATGAAAATATAGATTATTCCATAACATACACCATATAAATCAAAGTTTCACACTTTATATAAAGTTCACAAAAATTCAAACAATTTTCATCAAAATTTCAAAAAAAATTTTCAGAATTTCTAGAAAATTTTCGAGTATGCAGTTTTGTAGCCCGTTCAATTGTAGTAAAACAAGGTGCCAGTTTCAAGTCGCCAAAAATTGCCGTTGACTTTTTAGATTTTTTTTTTGTGGAGAGTGTTGCGCATTTTCTTCCATATAAAAATAGATTTTGATCACTTTATATAAAGTGTGAAGCTTTAATTTATATGCTGGTTCTTATGGAATAATCTATATTTTCATAAATAATTAATGAAAAAATGTTTTCTTGAAAATAAGTGTTAATATTGTATTAGAACATGGTGTACACTTACATTTGGCACTGACTGTATATCATGACAATAACTGTTATTTTTATCAACTTCCTGTAGATGTTAAGACATATTTTGAGTTTGATAAAAGCTGGGTAATTATTATTTGTGGAAATTTGCAGCTGAATTTTTATTTAAAGTAAACTTATATACAGCCTTATATTTATGCATGATAAAAATATTTGTTTTTCAAACATAATTTCTCTATAAAATTTTTTTTATTTCTTTTTCGTCTTAACTCTTTTTAACTTTTAAAATTTAAGGTGACCTAAAATAGTGCGATACCGCAGGTGCGATACGACATCGTATTTCATGCGATAACGATGAAAAGCAAGGCCCTCAAACAGGTGTCATACGAAGGACAGTTAAACTTTAAAAGCTATTTGACATTTCTCTTAAACTGGATAAGGTATCGAAAAGGCCTTTAAAGTTTCGAAACTCTCACTGAACTGTTGAAATTTTTATGAAATAATATCCAAGTACATATTCCAGTTTCTCCTATTTAAGAAAGACACCCACATACTTTTGAACAATAAACATTCTTTAGACTTACCAGAGCATCATTGCTGAGAAGGGATTGGCACGCTCGCGCGGATTTTGTGGCAACTCGTCTGCCTTCAAGGACTGCATGGTGTTTGGTTTTAGTTCCAATTTTTATTTTATTAGCACTTTTTACTTAATTCTAAATATTTCAGGTTACACCACCAAATTCCATATATTTGCTGAAATGCGATTTAGAAACTTTTAGAACGCTGATAATGCACTTACATATTTGAGTAGACATATAGCAGCGTAGTATTTAAATAAGAACACGTGCTGTGTTTTGTATGTGCATGGTATGTGTATACAGCTGCGGTCAAAATAGTAGTAGAAATTCCAAAGCTTACACAAAGATCACAAGATAATATTTCGGAAAATTTCAATAAAACTTGCAACTTTTTATCTAGATTTTTTAGACATTTTTTAAAGTAGCCCATTCATTTATACTAGAGTGTGAAAGTTTTAAGTCGCTGAAAAATTACTGTTGATTTTTTAGAATTTTTTTTTTTCGAGGGTGTTGAGAATTTTCTTACAAAAAACAACACCCTACGCAAAAAAAAATTAACGGTACTCTTTGACGACTTGAAACTTACACTTTATTGTACTTAAATTTAATGGCTAATGGGCTTTAAAACTGCATTTTTTTTTTAAGTTTGACTAATTTCTGTGAATGCTCTATATAATGTTTCAAATTCATATTTATGTGGTTTCTGTTATAGATCGAAGAATAATTTCAATCAAAATTATTAAAAATTAAAATGCAAATAAAAATAAGTTGCAAGCAACGCCATTCTGATTTTTGGTGTTATTATTTTGACCGCTACTGTATATAGGTACGTATGTATACATATGTTTGCTAGCAGCCATATCTCAAAGAATCAGATAAGTTAATTGTGAAATACTTGTAGCACTTATTATATCTTTTAAGGATTACATTTGAATTATTAGAAAAGCGATTAGTGTGTTAGTCTCTTAACTGGTATCAACATAACAAAGTTACGTCCCTGAATTAATCTGCTATTGCATGTACATTATTCTTTGATACAAATTTTTCATTTAAGATAAGAACTTCGATAACATTCCCACGACAGTGGGGTCTATGTATGTTTTTCTAAAGAGATAGAACATATTCGATTGAGAATGTCAGCGAATTAGTTTTCCTGATTCCATATATTTAAACACATTTTATGTGGCCTTTTTTGTCTTTTCTACCTTTAAAAAAGTTATGATAGCGAGGAAAATGCCCTTATTCCTGATAATCATGAATGTACTGCAATTCGTTTCTGAGTGAATTTGAACCCGATTTGAAAGGGGTTCAAATCTACTCCGAAGTGAATTGCAGAACCTGCCTGAATATGAAAGTTTCAAACGTTCCATATTTAAATTCGGCGCCATTTATTTCAACCAAAGTCGAGCGCACGTTTGGTACATTCAAGGCTTTTTTTCTTCGTTAAAATGGAATAAAAATGTTGCCAGAAAACTTCAAAATGCATATTGTCGTTCAATTTTTGCTACAACTATAGATATCAAAGTTTTGTGGGGAAATAGTCTACTACTAAGATACATATACATATCCATACACATATGTATATAATCAGCGTCAAAAATATGCCTACCCTAACGCTTTGACGATTTCATTTATTTATTTTTATTTTTCACTCCAAGTTTTTCTTATTTTATTATAAAAAATATAGTTAATTCAACAGCAAAAACTACATATATTATTGCCTTTTAATTTCATACAGAACTCGTTGAAAATGCAAGAAACATTCATCGAAATTTACAATTAGATTTCTTAGAAAATTTTTGAGTGTGCAGTTTTGTAGCCCATTCAATTTTAGTGTAATAAAATGCAAGTTTCAAGTCGCTAAAAATTATCGTTGAAATTTTTTTTCACTGAGCGTGTTGAGTACTTATTTCATATAAAAAAAATGGATGTCGAATTGAAAAGTTGAAAATTTCTTGGTTCTTCCTGCATTTCCTCGAGTTCTGTGTGAAGTTAAAAATAACTTGATTCTTGTGTTTTTTTGCTGTGGGACGAAGATTTATTTTTATAAAAAATTAAGAAAAATTTGGTATGGAAAATAAAAATAAATTAAATCGTCAAGTCGTCAGGGTGTGCATATTTTTGAGGCTGACTGTATATACCACATATTTTTATATAGCTGCAAGAACAGCAAATACTACCTACTCATATAAAAAACAAAATCTGCTTAAGCGCTTCTATGCTAAAACTACTTTCACATATTGATGGCCCTCTGCAATAACGACACAATTCAAAATGCAAAACATAAACTCCCTCTCTACTGTTTAGTAGCTCGTGTCTCTCCTCCTTGTCTAATCCATTTGTAATCCTTACTAAGTTAAGTAGTAAGGATTACTACAGCAAGTAATAAAAATTTGGCATGGATTATACAAGGATTAGATACATGAGCCACGAAACAGTAGTAAGATTTTTAATTTTTTTAATATGTATGTAGTGTGACTTTTTTTTTTTAAATAAGCCGCACAAGTGGACTTGTCACGATCACTTTAACTTTTATACGCTGACTTAAATTACACGCGTGCCACTTCGTTTTTAACAATTTGCAAAATAATTATTAAGAAACTACCAAGTTTTTCTGCTAGAATTATGTAGGAATATTTACACACAATCAGGTCAATCAGGCACATATGTCTCTTTTCCGACTATCAGCAAAAACTTAAGCGAGCGACAATTATTCTAATAAGGTAAGTGCGTCCGTCCGCCGCTACAACCATGTCGAAACTATTGAGAAAATATTAAATGCGAAACGTTTGGGTTATCGCTTACTTTCAGATACAATGCTACAAAAAGTGATACAATAGTGAATTGAACTTAATGAATTGGAACTGAATAATTTAATTGTTCGAAATGGCGGTAAATCCCCAACGTCGAGGGGACAAAAATACGTGTTTTTACAAGTAATTTGTATAAAATCAACTTCACACTCTCTTGATCAATATGATAGTAACGACCTGGAAGTACATAAATACGAGAAAAGTATTTGCCAGTCATAAAGTATTTTTATGTGCTCATATTTGGTAATGTACATTTAATTAGTTTCCGCCACAAAAAAAAGTTATGCAAGGATGACATTTGCCTGCCCTGGCTCTTTAAATAAAAGCGATTATCTTACCTAAAAAGTTTGCATGTAAGCATGTACTTATACACATATATATCGTCGATGTTTCGGGTTTTCTTTGGAGGCATTGCCTTGATAGGCAAATTTTGCAAATCTGTTGTTTTAATAACGATTTTACGATTCTTATGCATAAATCTCGATGCCTGGAATTTAAGGTTACCAAATCTCAAAATGGCGATTTAGGCAACTGGTCGATGGGCGGTTTTGGAAAAACATCGACGGTATAAATATTCTTATAATCCAGACATTTATGCAGCTACGGAGATAGATTTTTTTGGCATAATATCTATTGCAATACATAATAGTAAATTAGTCTCAATATATTACCTGCAGGCACTAAGTAGATAATTTGACAGTATAAGTACTCAGCATACAATTTTAAGGTTTTCTACCTTCCGATTTCATACATGTTTTGATTCAGGATTTTTGTAAAAAAAAAAATTGTGGTTTTAGGTTACACAAGGATTAAATGCGAATTTCCCCCAACAACAATGCGCATTTGCAAAACTTATATAATGACAAAATACGGACTACAAGTACTACTAAATAATATAAATTTACACTTGTTTTCAATTTGCTAAAGATTTCAACTACATATTTTTATTTGTTTGATAATTTAGATCGCTCTCGTTATACTAAACGAGATATATGAATTTTGTGTTAATGATAAGGGACTAAACAGCTCAGATTTGATTTATTTCATCATGAAAGTATAATTGTTGTTTGAATTGCAATTTATGGAATTCGTATTGGAACTGAATGAAAATAGAAACAACCGAAAGGCACAAAGGCTCAAATACTTAGCGTGCAATCTTTTGCGTGATCGTGAGGCACGTAATTTTTGTATAAATATTTCTTGCAATGATTGCTGCATACAAGTGTTGGGCGTCTATCAATTAATTTTTTAGTCATATTGTTAATTGATTACAATTAAATTAAAAGCAATTAAATTTTTAGGTTGCGTTGTACCAAACTCATTTAAGTAGAAATTAACTTTAATTTTTATTTAATTCTCATTTAAATTTTGTTCAGTTTCAATAAATTCTTTATAAAGTGAGTAAATATATGGCAGCACCGTGCTAAAAAAGGTTGTAAAATCAGGGCCGGTATACAAGTAACCAGGTGAAACACAAAATTGCGGATTAAACGTGTAACATCTCTGAGTGTGGTTATTCTGATTTAATTTTTATTTAAGTGAAGAGCATAGGTCACTTAAGTCAAAATTAAAAACAATTAGAATTGATTGGTAAAATAAAAATTAAATAATTTTAATTTAAATGAATCTGGTGAATCCAGCTTAATTGCGCATTGCAATTAAAAATGTAATTGCGCATTTCAATAAAATTAACTTTTTAATTGCACTTAACCAATTGTTAATTGTCCTTACTATTTGACCGACAATGCTGTGTACCAACAAATACGGAGGCATATTCAATGTCTAGCTGAATAAAATTTCTTTTCTGATACATATTCTTGTTTTTATTTAATTTTAATACAATGTTGCAAATATTTTTATTAACCTCATCTGCAGTGGAATTCTGGTAATCGCTACGCTAAATTTTTGCCGCTAAAACTCTCTAAATGGAAAGCAGTAGAGCTTATAAGGATGCCACATGGAAGGGTAATACATGCGATGCGTAATCAGCCAAATCTGACAGTGTGGCGGGCATGCAACTAGATGTTGCGTTTTGTTAGGGACATTTTTGGAGGTTTTTGACTATCAAAATTAGCGATAGCTGGCTGCTGTACTTAAAAATAGTATCATAAATGAATACTGATTTTGTAAAATATATTTTTAGCATTCTTGTTTAATTTATTTTGAATAAAATATATAAACTATGTGAGAAAATGTAATCTTTAACACTTTGTGGTAGTAATATGATAATTTTAAAATTAACTTTACTAAATTTACAGCAACTTTCACCAATAAACAAGCAAAAGATAAAATTTTTATCATGGTGTGAATATTTCCATGACGTTCATTGTGACTTGCTGAAAAAGTTAAAAAAAAAATCACGCGAAGCAACAGTTTTATCTGACATGGCCTTTACACTTTAAAGATTAGAACAATAGCTTCATGTTCACCCTACAAAATGTTCCTTTACCCTGCAAACCGGTATAAAAGTTGTGTCTTCGGCAACTGCAGGCCAAAAGCTAGCAACGGTTTATCAATTGCAGTTTATTAATTTTGTCAATATTGTGAGAAAATTTTAATAAAAGCTAGAAATGTCTTCTATTGGTGATACGGTGGGTTATCTAATTTTTGGTAATCCAGTCAGCCAAGCGCTATTTTCAACAGCATCGGGTGTTATTAAAAGCACAGTAAGTTAAAATAAAATATATTTATTTGATTCTAGTATTTATTTCTTATTAAATGCATATACTTTTACAGCAAGGTCTTTTGCCAAAGAAATTAACAGCAGGAAATGGTACTATTCCTGCGCCGCCTCCAGCGCCTGTGCGTTTACCATTATGGGATCTGGCAGGCTCGCATTACAATTTCATACGTTTAGCTGGTTTATGTGGGGCGAGTGCTGTGATTATGGGCGCCTACGGCAAGCATATATTCTCCAATGTTGGTAATGTCGATGAAAAAAATGAGGCCAAAACAGTCTTTGAGACGGCAAATCGCTTTCATTTCTTGCATTCATTTTCGCTTTTGGCGATGCCGTTGGTGCACAAACCGTTATTGGTAAGTCGATACTTGTGTGTACATACCGTTTATTTTTTATTATTTAAATAGGAGCATTGCAAATGCAAATTTGTTGTTGTTAAATCATCAATTTAACTTTTTTGTTTGTGGATTTGTATAATAGGAATTTTGGTGGTGTGCTAAAGTGATGGGCAGAAAACATAGAATGTAAAGAAGCCGCAAGTCTCTTATGTTCTTTTTTATAGGTCGATTTTGAAAATGTAGAAACTTATTCGCCACTTAAAAACTTATTCTGCGCCAAAATCCAGAGTTTTTAGACCACTACTTATTATAAAATTAATAATAAGAATAGTTTTATATCTAATGCTTTAAGTTAAAGCCAACAAGTGAAATAACAACCCACCAATCTTATTTGTAATCAAAATGCACATATAGATATACGAATATATATATTTTTTAAGTTATTTTATTGTCACTTAAAAACATGTGTAATTTTTCATTCAAGCACTAATCTACACAATTCACAAGAAAATTCAAATGCCGAAAGTTATTTACTTTTCTTCAACCCCAAATGATTTGAAAATATAAAGTTTATGCATTTATTTATCGATTAAATATTTTGATGTATAAGTTTGCTAACCGCATGGTTTTCATGCAAATTTTGTATTTCAATTCGTATTTACTTATGCACGTGTTTTTGTTAGAATTTGTTATTTTCGTTAGGCATGTAAGTATGTGTATAAATATACAAATATAATCAAACATACGTATCGTCGTTTAAAAACAAAACCGCGTAACAGACATTTGTGCCAAAAAAGATATTTGCTCACCGGAAACTCCTGGCTTCAAGCCCTTATCCATACATACTAAAATATCGATACTTAGATATAAGAAAAAGAGATAATTAGTGATAAAAGAGAGAACCGCTTTGAAGTAAAACAAGTTTTACTCCCTCTCCTATAAAATTTGGGAAACCTCATATACGAGGTTTTGTATTTTCTTGATACGCGGTTTTGTGCTTTAAACCACGATATGTATTTATTCATTATGTTTATATATATATGTATATCCTTTACATTTCCAATGCTGTGTATGCATGTATTTATGTACTATTTGAGCGGTTTGCCATAAGTTCGTTTTAAAGCTTAAGTTCATTTTCTTCAATTTGTGAAAAATTTATGGATTATGTTATATGCTTTGTATACAACTAGTTTCTTGTTCGTAACTATTGATAAAAAAAAAAATACTGTAATATTTTGTGCGCAATAACAAAGTGCACGCGCGCTGTTTTTATGCATTTTTAGGTATTGATTTTTTGTTGAACGGATTTGATTAACAACTTGCGTTACTCGGTTATTTTTTTCTTTTTTGAAAGTGCCTAAGATTGTTATTTATTTTATTGGTAATAAACAGTCGTAAAATACGTACACAGATTTTGTTTTTGCGAACAGCAATTATTTTGATAAATACATTATGTATGTAAATAGATGTAACTAATGTTGATTGTTTTGAAACATTTTTTTTTTGTGCATGATGTATTGTGGAACGATTTTCCGCCAGCCCTTATGTTTTTGTTCTATTGTTTATGCTATTCTTAATAACTTTTGTATGGCTAATAGAGAAGGAAAGCGCTATTTTCCATATCATTTGGTTCGCTGATACCAAAATCGTTTTGTATACAAAAGTAGAAGAAAAAGGCATCCGTAAATAAAAGTAAAAAAAAAATATATATATTGGTATTAAGAGAATGTAAATGTTTATTACTTATTAACTAGTTGTGAAAAGAATTAACTAAAAAATATTCATATAACTCAATCGGATCAATGAGTTTTCCCATANACGCGCTGTTTTTATGCATTTTTAGATATTGATTTTTTGTTGAACGGATTTGATTAACAACTTGCGTTACTCGGTTATTTNGCTGTTTTTATGCATTTTTAGGTATTGATTTTTTGTTGAACGGATTTGATTAACAACTTGCGTTACTCGGTTATTTTTTTCTTTTTTGAAAGTGCCTAAGATTGTTATTTATTTTATTGGTAATAAACAGTCGTAAAATACGTACACAGATTTTGTTTTTGCGAACAGCAATTTTTTGATAAATACATTATGTATGTACATAAATAGATGTAACTAATGTTGATTGTTTTGAAACATTTTTTTTTTTNTATTTTTTTCTTTTTTGAAAGTGCCTAAGATTGTTATTTATTTTATTGGTAATAAACAGTGGTAAAATACGTACACAGATTTTGTTTTTGCGAACAGCAATTTTTTGATAAATACATTATGTATGTACATAAATAGATGTAACTAATGTTGATTGTTTTGAAACATTTTTTTTTTTGTGCATGATGTATTGTGGAACGATTTTCCGCCAGCCCTTATGTTTTTGTTCTATTGTTTATGCTATTCTTAATAACTTTTGTATGGCTAATAGAGAAGGAAAGCGCTATTTTCCATATCATTTGGTTCGCTGATACCAAAATCGTTTTGTATACAAAAGTAGAAGAAAAAGGCATCCGTAAATAAAAGTAAAAAAAAAAAATATATATATTGGTATTAAGAGAATGTAAATGTTTATTACTTATTAACTAGTTGTGAAAAGAATTAACTAAAAAATATTCATATAACTCAATCGGATCAATGAGTTTTCCCATACTAGGATGACTTTGATAACTGATTAATTATTTCGCTTAAAAAATGGTTTTACTTGATTCAATTTATTTAAAGCTCAGTTGCTGTTGGCAAAATCTCAAAAAAAAAAACAAGGAGGCATACATCGAATGCTTTAGCTGTTATGAACTGCTCTAAATATTTCCTTTTTTACACATTTTTTCATGAGTGTAAAATTACATAGCCTCTACTAATGCATTATGCATAACTACAAGCACAAAGTATGATCTAATAATTGACTTAATTCTTATTAAAGTTTATTTGCTAGACCTTTTTTATGTTTTAGTATACATATATATTTTTTTTTTAATTTTTTAATCTTGTAATTTCAACAATTTTCTCTGAATTATATTCTACAAGTACAACAGTAACCAGCTTCAAGCATAATAGAGCATGCATTCCACTTTGTAGCTACATCTAATTAAAGTACCGTTGCGTAAATATTGTTTGTTTATATGTATGTTTCCATATCATTTAACAACCACATTTTTTAAGCAAAGTCTTATTTGCCCACACAGTAAGCTTAAAATTAATAACTTCATAAATTTATTCACAAAACTTTCTAATAGCGCAGGTGTTTTTTATAGTTTAAATCTTTCATTAGTACCCGGCGTGTCTAAAAACTTTAAATAATGAAACTTTCCACTCTTCATACTNCAAGGAGGCATACATCGAATGCTTTAGCTGTTATGAACTGCTCTAAATATTTCCTTTTTTACACATTTTTTCATGAGTGTAAAATTACNAAAAAACAAGGAGGCATACATCGAATGCTTTAGCTGTTATGAAATGCTCTAAATATTTCCTTTTTTACACATTTTTTCATGAGTGTAAAATTACATAGCCTCTACTAATGCATTATGCATAACTACAAGCACAAAGTATGATCTAATAATTGACTTAATTCTTATTAAAGTTTATTTGCTAGACCTTTTTTATGTTTTAGTATATATATTTTTTTTTAATCTTGTAATTTCAACAATTTTCTCTGAATTATATTCTACAAGTAACCAGCTTAAAGCATAATAGAGCATGCATTCCACTTTGTAGCTACATCTAATTAAAGTACCGTTGCGTAAATATTGTTTGTTTATATGTATGTTTCCATATCATTTAACAACCACATTTTTTAAGCAAAGTCTTATTTGCCCACACAGTAAGCTTAAAATTAATAACTTCATAAATTTATTCACAAAACTTTCTAATAGCGCAGGTGTTTTTTATAGTTTAAATCTTTCATTAGTACCCGGCGTGTCTAAAAACTTTAAATAATGAAACTTTCCACTCTTCATACTTCTTATGGCAAAAAACTTACTAGCAGATTTTTAACTATTTTAAGTTGTAATAGTAATTTTTAAAGTTTTACATTTTATTTAGAATGTTATTTTCCCTCATTTTCTTTCTGCCTTTTAATTTTGTGTTGAAATTCTGAATCTATGTATATGCTTTATTTGTATAACATTTAATTTAGCACGGAACCAAGTTCGGAGTTCGGAANAAAATTCTGAATCTATGTATATGCTTTTGTTTGGTCAATAGCCTAAGTTTTTGTATTTAATTATTTGTATAACATTTAATTTAGCACGGAACCAAGTTCGGAGTTCGGAATTACCATTTGACCAAATCCACAAAAAAAAACTCGGGTATTAATTGGCACTAGACTTAACAAGGTACTAGCTCATCTGAATGATAAATTTTTTCACACAAGGAACTTCGAAGAGAGCGAAACAACCACCGAACTCGCTTCGTCGTAATGGAATATACTACGTAGCTTCTTTACCATTGGAAAGTTCAGCACGTTTCTGCATAATAGAGTCGTTCAACATTTCCAATTGCCAACACTAATCATCCGAATTAATTGAGAGCACAACCTTCCTTTGATGAAGTGCAGCTTTTGAAATAGTTTGAAGCGAATCATCACATCGGGACCAATACCTCTATCATTATTTAAAAAAAAAAAAAAAAACCGTAAAATGCGCTTCGAATTCATGTGGAATATAAATATCGTCGTTTAAGGTACAAAACCGCGTATAGTGGTTCTGCAAAACCTCGTAACTGACATTTGTGCCAAAACAGGATATTTGCTTACTTAGATCTAAGAAGAATAGATAATTGGGGATAAAAGAGAGAACCGTTTTGAAAGAAGATAAGTTTTACCCTCCAATAGAATTTTGGCAACCTCGCATACGAGGCTTTGCATATTCTTGACACGCGGTTTTTGTGCGTAAAATGACGATATACAGCTTAAGCAAAAAATTGTTATATATATGTATTATGGAGACCATTTAGAATGGCTAACCAAACTAAACCCTTTTTGTTGTCATCTCATACGTGGTACTGCATTCGGGTTCGTCTTTAAGATCTCGACTTGTAGATTTTTTGCTGCTGATATCAAATCCGTGTTTGATAAAGGTCCAAAATGGTAGAAGAAATCCAAGAAAAAAAAACCTCGTATTAGCGAAAATTCAATTCGTCTGATGGATTCTACCCAATGTCGATGAGTTGAATAAAAATCAAAGGCAAATATTTAAAAGAGGAAGCTAATAGCTGCATAAGCACAGATGCGTTTTGGTCACCGAATTATTTGCGAAAATTGGATAGGCCTTTAACATTGATATCGATGTTTTTTAGACCATTTTTGTTTGGCATAGCACTGACAACTTTGATTTCGGAAAGCTTTCTTATAACATTAAAAATCTACTTTTTAAATTGTATTATTTCTATTTATTTTGTATTTCCATAAATGTGCTTATGTACATATGTATGTAGCTTTGATAACCACAAATTTGCATATCTATTACGTACAAGGAACTCATTTTATTGTCCTCTTTTTTTTTTGTTATTTTATCACTAGTGCAAATAAGTATTTACATATGTGTGTACATAAATATTTATACGCACTTTAATTGTATTTAAAATTTATTGTTCATTGTCATTCGTTCCAGACCGGCTCATTGATGGCCTTGGGCACTGTACTCTTCAGCGGCGTCCTGTACTATCGCGCCATCACTGGCGATCGTACTTACGTACCAGTGGCAACTTGTGGTGGCTTCTGCCTTATCGTAGCTTGGCTTACGCTTATCTTTTAAAACGGCTTTTGAGGGCGCTGATGGAATCTTCTAAATACCATAGATTAAGATGCTATTGTGACCGATACGAAATTTGGTAATTTTCGAAAAAATGCAAAGAATGTACATACATACATACATATAGTTTAACTAATATATGCCCTAAGAAGTCAGTCATCAATCAGTGGGCAGTTTTTTCGGCAGCAATTCGTTTTTTCCTAAATTTTGTATCGCTCAAAAAGGCATTATTAGCCATAGTAATTTGTTTTATATGTAAATGGTTTATTGTTTAAAAATTTTAAAGATATTTCTTTTATTAGATTTCTCCTTTGTTAATACTTATGTGTCGCTCATTTTAATTAAAACTAGTTTTTGCAAAACATGCGTGTGGCGTGTATGTATTTTTTGTAAATATTTATTATTGTAGTATATGTATACGTAAGTATCTATGTATGTATATCTAAACGTTTAAAACTAGTACTGATATGATCAGCGTTCACTGGAAGAATCAATGTCTCGTTAATAAATTATTATTGTTATTATTATTTAAGAGTTTTAAATGCATACTCAAATTTACAATTGTATGTAATTTAATTTCGTGCTCTGGCAGCGCTATCTCTTTAATTAACAGTTATAAATTTACAATAAAACATTGCATATGTATATGTATAAAACAACAAATTCAATTTCGTTTTGCATTGTACGTACAAAATTCTTTATGTATGTATTTCTATGATAGTTTACAAAAATTCTAAAGTAAAGTTTACACATACATATGTCTGCTTGTATGTACGAATGCACTAGTGCTTGCCTCTGTGTTTGTAGTATACACTTAACACAAAATGAGCTGCAGCTGCTGCATTTCACGATGAAATAAAGCTTCTGTCTGCTGTGGGTAAAAAAAAAAAAAAATTTAATTTAAAACCACAAAGTTAATGCCCTAATATTGTCATCGAGTTTTTGGAACACATACAAATTATATGTCTTGTTTTCACGTACGATTTACTATATTGTATGTATGTTTATATGCAAACGAGCTAATCGCTAGAACAGTGCATTTTTACAAAGCAAATTTTGTTGTTATTTTTCACAAAAGATCACAAATAACTACTCTATTGCAAATGAATTTGAGGAAAGGTGTATGAAGGTCAAATTTTCAATTCAATTTTTTATTATAAAGTGCAGCTAATTATTTGGTACGTGCATTTGAAATCTCATTTAATTTAATTTGGGAAACCATTTTTTAACTACATATTTTTATTATGGCATTGAACTCATCGTTTAAATTCATCTGCAATAAACATAGTTGTGTCATACAATTTTCCTATTAGTGACCCTGCGTTCAGCACTTGTCTCAGAGTTTTAGGCAAACCCACATAATTATTTCATCTGTTATTTTATACTAGGTTTTTTATTGTCTCACTTTACAAAGTTTTTTTTCGTTTTTGATTAATTTTTTTTTTCGCGCTAAAGCAATTACAATTACAACTATTTTTTTTTTTAATTTACATACTACACAATTGTTTTGTGAATATGTAGAATTTACAATTTTCAGGTCGATTTTGGTCATACACCACGTGATATATACACAAATGTAGCACATAATATATGTATGTATGTATGTATTTGTGTTAGTCGATATGCATTTGAGCCCCTAATTGCCTTAAATTGTCTTTATACATGTAAATACATTATTGTTTCATTTACATACTAGTTTAGTTACTCGTAATTTCATTAAGTACTATATAAAAATAAGCCCCGATATGATAATCTGCGGGTTTCACCATTCCCATTCCCATTCGCATTACCGCTTCGGTTTCCGTTTCCGTTTCCTACTCCTCTCCCATTTGTCGGTTCCTGCTATCCAAGGAATTTGTGGTGTGTCGCATCGGTGAGAGTTTTTTGTATGCGCGCATTTGCTGGATGATTTGCTATCGGTTCTAGAATCTTAAGTAAATAGTCTTTGAATACTTTCGGTACAGAAACAGAGAAATGTCAAGTATCCTTTTTCGCGCGCAAGTTCTCCTCATGCGCCTGAAAGAAATAAGGAAATTGAAAGGTTAATACACAGGGTGGTTTTTACAGTGGAGCGTTAACTCGTATCTGGCAGCTAACTTTAAATTTTTGTACTGGCAGATGTGCTCTTTTTATGTTAACATTTTTTTTTATTAAAAAATTCAACTTGCAGGGCAATTCTGGCTAAGATAGTTGCAAGTCTTTTATAAGACAATTGAAATATAGCACGTCAGATAGTTTAAAAGCTCTGACACGAAAGTCTTAAAAAAAGCTCCTTTGGTGAAGAGCTGTTTTGACAAAAAGCACTTGAGCATGTTCCAAATGGAGATGCAAAGCACTAGAGTGCCATTCCAAAGATCCGAGGTTCAAATCCTCGTGCAGCGGATTTTTTAATTGTATTAATTTTTATAATTTTATTTCCTTAAGTTTCATTATTAATTAATTATTTTAAAAAGTAAAAAATATATATATTTTTTAATTTAATTTTTATAAACTTATTTTATGTATTTTTTTACTCTTTTTTAATTTGTATTGTCTTAAAATGATAAATATATGTACATATGTATTCTTTGATTTCATTTAATTTTAAGAAACTTTACCTAAAGCTTTTTCTCGTTTACAAGCTTTTATTTAACTTGCGCTGTGTGTATGTATGTATGTATGTTTATTAGGGGCAAATCTTGCAATCAACTTTTGACCAAATTCCCGATGACCTAGAGACTTAAAATTTCACAGTTCGCTCGGAACCCGATGATAATGCAATACGAAAGAAATTAATCCCATAGGGCACACAGGAGTCGAAATATGTATATAAAAACCCCGTATTTATAATCCGATTTGGTTTGTATTTAGAACGTACATGTATTAATTACATGAAAAGGAATAACTCCACCAAAAAATTTTGCCGATAGGTGGCGGAGGAGTCATATTTATTTAGAAATGGTTAGAACTTTTTTTACCATTAACTTTTTTATTTAAACTTTTTTTTTGCTTTTTGATTTAATTTTTAAAAATATTTACTTTTTGTCTTTTTTTAATTTGATAAATTTTGTTAGTTTTTTTAAATTAAATTTTCTATTAATTTTTGATTTTTGGAAAACTTACTGCTAATAGACAAATGGCCTTATTCATAAAAAATAAAGTAGCTTTATAAAAGGTTTATAAATTGAAAAATGTATGAAAACGTCAATTTATAAAACTCTCTAAACCTACTTTATTTTTTATGAATTAGGCCAAAACAGAATAACGCAAGGACGTACTCGATGGCAGATCTATCAATTAGTCTTTCGAAAGACTTAAAAGCGCCTATCAAGATATTTTCAAGAATTGCCCAGTTCGACAAATTTTGTTTAACTTTTTCCTTGCTTTTACTTTGCTTCGCTTTACTTTACTCTACTCTTGTGTACTTCACGTTACTTCATTCTACTCTTCTTTACTTTACTTTACGAATAACCCAAGTCTCCATATTAGCCCTAACCCATATTCAGAAGAACCTACCTTTTGTGCCACCGTCAGCAGATTGTCGAATGTGGAGTTGCCCGCCTGCTTTACCATGCCATAGAATACTTTCGTCTTGCTCTCAGTTAACAATTCAAATGGCGAACCGAATTCGACTGCTCGGCCAGCATCCATGACCAGCACCTTATCCGAGTCCATAACTGTGTGTAGCCGATGGGCGATTGTGAGAACCGTGCAGTTTTTGAATTTACTTCTTATTGTCAGTTGTATGAGTGCATCAGTTTGTGGATCTACATTTGCTGTCGCCTCATCAAGCACCAAAATCTTATTCTCACGCAGTATGGCACGTGCTAGACACACTAACTGGCGCTGGCCGACGCTGAAATTGCTGCCACCTTCTGAGATTCTACTCTGCAAACCACTCGGCAATTCGGATACCACACTTTTCAATTTAACCTATAAACAAGTTTTAAATAAACGTAAATCTTCGACCGAAAAAAAAAAAATCATTTCTTCTTACTTCTTCAAGCGCCTCCCATAGCTTCGCATCTGCGTATTCATCGAAAGGATCGAGATTGTAGCGCATTGTACCCGAGAAGAGCACCGGTTCTTGCGGTATAATCGAGATTTTGCCACGCAAGTCGTGCAGGCCAATGTCATTGGTATCGCGCGTGTCAATAATTATGGAACCATCATTGTACGATAACCGAAAGAGCGCATTTATGAGCGAAGATTTGCCAGCGCCAGTGCGTCCCACTATACCCACTTTTTCACAGGACTCTATCTCCAGGCTGAGTGATTTCAGCACACGTTCCGATTTCGGGTCGGGGAAGTATCGCAAACTGAGTTTGTCAAATTTGATTTTACCCTGTTCGGGCCATGATTTTGGCGGCTTTTTGCCAGGTCGGCTCTCCATTTCTCCTTCAGGTTCGATCTGTTCATATTCGACTACGCGCTCCACACATGTCATATTGTTCTCCAATTCGGCCGACTGTCGCATACCCCACTGTACCATGCCAGTCAAGCCCATGGCTTGCGTGATGGCCAGACCCACATCACCGCCATTATCGGGTGTGAATAAGAAGAAACTTAGCGTGGTCACAGCTAAGTAAGCCACACAGAAACAGTCGAGCCAATAGCCGAAGGCGCGACTCGTGGTCAAGAACATATAATAACCGGAACTGTGCAAATCCTGGTAGTTGTCGAATTCTGTTATTAAAACCTTTTGAGCGCCAAAAGCGCGTATCGTCGGCAAACCACTCAGAGAGGCGCCCAAGTGCGAGTAGATCGGTGAACGTGCTGCGTAGTGTAGAAAAGAGGAAATTTGTATTAGTTGAAGTATGGAGGAAGCAAAATCATTATTCAAGACTTACTGATTGCCTCGATACGTTTGACATCACGTGATGTTTGCAAATAAAATGTTCGCAAGAGATAGAAAATGATCGCTAGAACGACTGTCGTCAGCAAGTTCCAATAATTCACCAGCGATATTACAATCACAATGCCTGCACAGCCTAAAGCGATTTGCACCACATCCATCATCACCGACGGCAGGATTTCATCCACTTGACCCATATCCTTGGAGAATCTGTTCAAGATGCGGCCAGCCGGATTCGTATGGAAGAAGTACATCGCCGCGCGTGTAAGCCCCTGGAACATGGTATTGTGCAAACTAATCGACGAACGTTGCGCCAATACGAAGAATAATAAACTGCGAGCTAGCGAAAAAATCACAGTAGCCACAATAATTCCTGTGAATATGTAAATATCAACAGGATCCGTTTCACTATTTAAGCGTACGTCACGGCCATACAGGCGGCCAATAATGCGATCACCAAAATCTCTGCTGTCTGTATCCAATTTTTGTTCATTTTTGTTGACCCTGTGAAAAATACAAAGCTTAAGTTTTGCTACACCCTTTCGTTCATAACTCACCAATAGGACAGGAAAGAATCACCGGCTGAGCCCAGTATTTGCGCGGTAACGCAGAAGAACATGATTATCACGAATAGCACGTAACCGCCACTAGCTGTGAAGTACTTTGTATAAAGTCCCCAACTAATTTTGCCCTCCTCACGACTCTCTTGCACCTGCAAGGCTGCATCACCGACCGCTGAGTCTGCTATCGAGCTCATTGAAGATATGCTGTTCTGTCGCTGTCGGCTATTTTGACGTGACAAGCTTTTCTTCTCACCGGAGTCACCACCGCCATCCGCATCAGCACTCATATCTGGTGCCACTAGCAATTTAGCAAAGTCCAGCCCACTTTTACGCATCGACTCATAGGTACCCACTGCGCTGATCTTACCCTTATCCATGATCACGATGATGTCGGCCTGTTCTAGAAACTGTAGCTGATGCGTTACCAGAATAACAATATCTTCACGCAGAAAACCGCGTAAACATTGATCGAATAGATGCCGTCCGACGTGTGTGTCAACTGCGCTGAGGGGATCGTCCAGCAGATAAACATCGGCTTTACGGTATACAGCGCGGGCCAAACTAATACGCGCTTTCTGTCCGCCTGAAAGCGAGGCGCCACGCTCACCCACAATCGTTTTATCGCCAAAAGGCAGCAGTTCAAAATCGCGTTCCAGTGCGCACTTCTTCACCACGGTACGATAACGGTTCTTGTCCATTGGCAAGCCGAAAAGTATATTTTGGCGCACAGTGCCGGTGAAAAGCCATGGCTCTTGAGAGGCGTACGAGGAGGAGCCATGGATTGTGATGGAACCCGATTCAGCTGGTAGTTCGCCAAGAAGGGCTTGGATTAAACTGTAAAGAAAAGTTATTTTTAGGATTTTTAAGGTGTTCTTTAACTTGCTTTTCGCAAATATCAGAAGCGGAAAACTTTCCGACCCCTTTTTTTTATTATGTAAACAAAATTCGCACTCAGGACATCGCGAAAAGTTTTCAAACCCTTTTTGTTTATGCAGTACTTACCTTGACTTTCCAGAACCCACGGGTCCAATTACAGCCACCAGAGTGCGCGGCTTCACTTTCAAATCAATGTTGTTCAGCGTGTACTCTGTCAAAGAGTGATCCCATCTTGCCTTCAGTTTGTGTATTTCAATACCAGTAGGTGTATGTTTAATCTCCTGCGGTGATGGCTGTATTGGCTTTAGACTGCCATTCAATGTTAGCGTTTTTTCATTTTCTTCGATAATACTCGTCTGCTTGATTTTATTGTACTCATTTTCATTATCGCCTGAGCGATCTTTTACTTTTGTCTCCTCGTACAACAAATACTTCTGTATGCGCTTCATGGAGACCATTGTCTCGGCATATTGTGATATGGCCATGGGGAAGTAAATTGTCATTGCGTTACGCAATATATTATAGTAGGCTGTGATGACGAAAGCCTTCTCCGCCGTCAAGAATTGACCCAACAGCACGTATCCCACCAAGCTGATAAAGACGGAGCAGCGTGTCATGAACATCATAAACGATTGCAATATACCACGAATGTAATTAACATTGCGTATAGAATACATTTCTTTGGCACGCGCATACTGCACCATTTTACCAAAGGGTTTCTCCCACGCATACATCTTGATCACCTGTATGCCCGAGATGATCTCGTTCATCATGCGTACACGTTCGTCCGTACACAGCGCTGTGCGCAGACGCAGCACTGACGTCCTTTTGCCAAGATAGGCTTGCAGCGGCAGGAGGAGCAACATGAAGGCGACACCAAACAGCGAAGAAACGCCAATCTAAAAGCGAAAGAAAAAAATTAAAAAGATTTACCAAACGACCGCGGTTAGCGATGGCGCGAATTAGCAGAGCCGGTAGGATGGAAGCACTGCCAACCTGCACGTATATGTATGTACATATAAATACTTAATTCCGTTACATACCTCTCTATACATGAGTATTGTTATAATTACAGCCACGATCGGCCCCAGATACAAATAATGGATGTGTATGAGTGACGTATCCAGCCGTCCCACATCGTTCGATATCAGATTCACTACTTGACCGGTTGTGGTGCCACCTAGCGCTGTTCTGCTCAAACGTAGCGCCTTTCGATAAATCATGCTACACAGGCCGATGCGTACCTTCATGCCCGTGTGTAGCGTGGCCAACATATACGGATGATATGCAATCACGCTAAATGCGCTGCAGAGAATCACACCCAGGGCGTAGAGATAGGCAGTGGTGGTGTTCGTATTGTTACTCGTTTGGGCATAGTAATTAACCAAGCCACCAAGAAACAAAGGCTGTGTAACACTGCGTGTAAATAAATGAATAAATAAATACATACATAAATTGGTTGAGGGGACGACAAATAGTATACGCATACGTATGTTTGTACAAACATAAATTAGTTCAAGATTAGCTGGCATGCATAGTTAACATACATACATACTCTCCGCCTTACTTACCGCAGACCCACTTCGACAAACAATAATAAAAGTCCAAGTGCCGTGTAGCGCGCACCAAATACGCTCAGCACAGCACTGACGAGATTGGGTTCCTTGTGTTTCTGCCTTTTCTTATCGATCTCCGCCTCCCAGGCAACGCTCAGCTTGCTTCCCAGGTCGGCTGCAAGCATTAAATTATACATACGTACATATGTGCATAAGTACAAGGAGTTGACTTTATGTTTCATATTAGATTAAACTAAAGAACTCTTAGTGATATTACTATTAGGCAGACATGGCTTTAAAACTCTGTCGAATATCTTGAAATTTCGCCCTCCACAAAACTCCTAATAAATCCATTTCCGGGATTGCAGAGCTTTTTTTTTAGGCGAACGTGCAGTTAAACTTTATTATAGAGAGCGCCATTTAAGAAATTGTTGAGATGGTTTTAAGGCCTTTGAGTCAAAATAGTTACTAAATACTAGCCTCAACCTATAAACGTACGAGTATGGTTACATATCAGCATATGGATCAGAGCATTAGCTCCTTGAACCAGCGCTATCATATCGATAAAGCGGTAGAAATATGTTAGCGTATAAAGACTAGAAAATGGAGAAAATTCATGTCCTCTTACACTTGACCTAACATTGATGGACCTCAAAGCGCAAAGCGTTTACTTCTGGCGAGAGTAGTAACACTAACGGCACTTTTCTCCGGTACACCAGCAAGACTAAAGGCTTAGTTATGCATACTTGGCATTGCATAAGACTTGTCACATAAGGAATCTGTTAAATGAGCTTTGCGTGTAAGCGGTTNGGACCTCAAAGCGCAAAGCGTTTACTTCTGGCGAGAGTAGTAACACTAACGGCACTTTTCTCCGGTACACCAGCAAGACTAAGACTAAGAGTAAGGTAGGCGAAGAGACAGTGCACATAGGTAAAGTCCTACACTGACGGGTTAGGGGTTTGGCTTTAGGTACTTCCGCCTCTTAAAAAAAATATTATAGATACCTAGCGAGCAATCTGAATTCAATGAACTCTATTTAGGATATTAAAACCAAAGAGGCTGGCCGCTCTGGGCTGTGGCCCAGATTTGTGATTTTTATTTTAAATTTTCAGGTAAAGTACTTTTTTTTAGCATGCAGTTAGAAAGCCATCAAGCACGACAGCTTTGGAAGTTTATTTAAAATAGATATTTGTTATATTTTTAGACAAGAAACGGATGAGGCTTTACTAAAAGTTTTGTCTAAGTTGGAGCTCCAACACAGACCCTTATTAAGCGATATACAAGAGTAGTTGCGTAATATTTTTCCAAGTCATGAACATTTTCAATAGAATGAAAGTAAAAAGAGCTACGGTTTTCCAAGCAAATAGTCACAATTGCCCACCGCTGTTATATAGCATCTATGTATGTATATTATTACACTAAAGTACAATATCAAATTCAACAGTCATTGAAAATGTTTTATGCGATCTTGTATATTAACTTGAATAAACAAGCTGATTAAGAGTATGGTAGCTTCCAGAGTTAAGATGGGACCCAGTACCATTTTTATACAAAGCTATCATAACGCCATGGAAAGTTACAAAAATGTTTATCTTTAGCGAGATTGCGAAATAAATAAATTCATAAAATAAGAAGAAGTAAATTCCACAATGTAGAGAGTATAGGTGACGTCATCAGTGGTACCGCTACTTTAGGTTTGCCGATTTTGACAATTCTCAAGTAAAAGTAAACAACGCACAGTGGGAGCAATAACGAAATGAGGCTTCAAATTTGGAGAACAAACTTCTTTATCGAATACTAGTATAAGGTGTTAATATAAACAAAATTCGCAAAAGAAAGGTGGTATCGCAGAGGTGGTCCCATACATATTTGGTTTAGATCCGATAATTGGATCATGAGAAATTAACGGTACTCTTAAATTTGTATATGGCAATTGATGTCGGTTTTATTTTTGGCACACAAAAATCGAGTTGCTGCAAGAAGAGTTGCATTTCCTTTAAAAGTTATAAGTGATGCATTTTTTCGTACTTGCAGGAGGACATATTCTTTAATAGAATGATTCTGTTAACATTTCCTGAAAAAAATCTCTGAAAGGGGGCAAAAGTCCCCCATAATTTTGGAAAAAGGTTAAAATATCTAAATTTTCAAAAAGTCTGAACAAAAGGCGTTTAAAAAGGGTCGAATTGCCCCCTCAGTCGTACAACGGCAACACTGCATATATAATTATTTCTGCTTCCCATTCGTCCCCTGGGGGAATTCGCTTATTGAACCGATTTTCAAATAACAGAAGCGTACAATTTAAATTATACATTTTGGTTCTTTGAAAAAACATTGTTCGTATTAAAGTGCAGTTGAGTGTTTATATTTAACACTGTTCATTTTAATTTGAAAATGTTTACAGGCCCACTACATATGTACATACATACATAAATGATAAACGATTAGCTTATCTGAAATCCATTTTAATATAGCGTCTTGCTAAATTAGTGTTTGGTTTTACGTGCGAGATATTACATACATAGATATCAGTTAGAAAGCTTTGAATAGAATATGTACACACATATGTATATATGTATATACAGTATCTGTCATATCTGTAGCACGCCATTTCAAAGTGATATTGTGTGCCACTTATGTTTCTATTAAAATATAGTTAATTCTCAGACAAACCCCATATAAACCCAAGTTTAATAATTTGTAGAAAATTATAAAAAAAGTGCAACAANCATAGATATCAGTTAGAAAGCTTTGAATAGAATATGTACACACATATGTATATATGTATATACAGTATCGGTCATATCTGTAGCACGCCATTTCAAAGTGATATTGTGTGCCACTTATGTTTCTATTAAAATATAGTTAATTCTCAGACAAACCCCATATAAACCCAAGTTTAATAATTTGTAGAAAATTATAAAAAAAGTGCAACAAATTTTCAGCTAAACTTCAAACTTTTTTCTCGAAAGTGTTAGGATTTTTTTGAGTACAAAATTTGGTATCCACTTCAATTCGAGTCAAGTGGCTAAAAGTTACCGTTGATTTTTTAGAATTCAACCAATAAATAGTATCCGATTTGATTTGGTAGCTTGCCTCTCGGCATCTTATACAGTGGTAACTTTCCCTTATTGCGAATAGAAAATTTGTAAAAGTCAAAGGAGTATATTGTTGCCTTATTATAGAATAGTTGCTGGCATGCAAAAAAGCCGTAACTACTTAATTAAAATTTTGTATTGTATAAAAAGCTTTGGGGACTTATAATTCAATGAAATACATCACATTTAATAATTCAAAAAGTGAATTTGGGATTTTTAGTTAGTTACAGCTTTTTGTATTTCAGCGACGATATGAGTTAGGACCCTTTCTATATTAAGCTAACGATATGTATAGTAAGTAGATTACACTGGTTCAAAAATAATAGATTTTTTTCCAAATATTTTCTTTGAAAAAGGACGACTTGCAAAGGCGCAATCCTTACTATTAGCTTTGTTCTACACACTTTCTAAAAATAAGTTACTCTCTCACAAGTGTCAAAAATGTGTCAATACGTGCCAAAAGTGCGCAGAGCGTGAAGAACGCAAAAAAACACATTTTGAGTCCGGAATCAACATATCAGCTCTAAACAAAGATTTTATGTTTATTTTATTTGGATAATAAAATTAGCAAATAACTACCTTTTCTGAAACTTCTGTGATAGTTTTCATTTTTGTGTTTTATATAATTGGATTTCGGATGTAANAAAAAAAAACACATTTTTTGCCCGGAATCAACATATCAGCTCTAAACAAAGATTTTATGTTTATTTTATTTGGATAATAAGATTAGCAAATAACTACCTTTTCTGAAACTTCTGTGATAGTTTTCATTTTTGTGTTTTATATAATTGGATTTCGGATGTAAATGAACAATGGATGTTATTTCAAATGGCTGTTTCGGGCACAAAGTATAGGAGATCTGCGATCCAACAGTGGAACGCATTCCCTCTCTATTACCCATTTTTCTAGCGTGAGGAACGCTTTCTGTACTGTTTTTTTTTTTTTTTTTTGCACCCAAGAGATCCCGCGGGCTTGTGTGCAACAAACCTATTAAGTTTCAGTGGTCGCTAATCACGAATTTCAATTCCCATTAAAATTTTATATCTCGTTTTGAAGTCAACGTATCGGACTGAGTGATATATGTATATTTTCGAAGAAAATTGAATGGCTGTAAAAGAAATCTCAAAAATTTGTCCAAGCTTAAAAGCGACCATATAAAAAATTAAACGTTTTTTCTTTTAATTTTCGGCAAAATATTTTAAGTCGTCACTAAATCTCACAAAATTTTTCCTGGAAAGTTATAAGTTTTAACATTTTGGGCATTTTAAACACAAATTTTGTTCTCAAAGGATGTATTGAAAATGAAATTAATTACTTTTGGAGGAGTAAATTTATGAAAAATCATGAAAGACTTTTTACAGCCTTCAATTTCANAAAATTTTGTTCTCAAAGGATGTATTGAAAATGAAATTAATTACTTTTGGATGAGTAAATTTATGAAAAATCATGAAAGACTTTTTACAGCCTTCCATTTCATTCAGAAAATATATAGCGCTCATGGCAACGTTGACTTCAAAACGCGTAATAAAATTTCAAAACTGAAACAATTTTTTCTCTGTGTTAGTTAAAAGGAAAATAGGAATCCTCGATGAGCGAAATAAATACTAATATTAAGGGCTGCGATTTTGGCAGGCGTCTTTTTCATTGTCCCGAAAATATTTTACAAAGGATTTTGAAAAAATAGTTTTATTTGAACCAGTCTAATGTAGAATTTTCTTTTACAACCCCAAATGTAAAATGTTATGAGACGTGGCGTGTCGTGACAAACATACATTTCCATCGTTACATTTTTGTTAATATTTATATATACATATTTATTTTTAAATTAATTTTTTTGCGCAAACAAAACATGCATTTTAGGTCGAATATACTTTGTATTTTGACTTCAGCACCAATTCAGAGCCAATTTTTTGGAAATCTATGATTTATTATGTTTCAACTACATACGCGAAATTCGCACCAAGTCGGACCCTAAATACGGTTTTTCAAAATATCTCGACCCTGGCGCCGCGAGGTTTGCTTACATAACCAGTATATATTAAAAAAAAAAAAAGGCGGACAATTTGGCCCATAAATACTT